ACCATGTCTCTTAGCAAAACACCTTCCGCAGGACCTAGAAAGCTTTGTGTTAGCTGGGAAATTTGGTCACTCTCTTTAGGCTTAGGGAAATTTTTGTAAGGAATGCATGATTCTCACTTCAGCACTTGCTACTTCAGTGAAGAACACGTAGCTTTACTGAGCCTCTATTGTGCAAAAACTTCAATGCTTCATGTGTTAAGACTCTTGAGATCGTGGCAGCTCTGCGCTAGAAGGCATGGATCTCCTTATTGTATATAGCAAAATTTGATTGAGTTTTCACTTGGGTAGTTGTAAGAGCCCTGAACATCAACTTGTTTGACCTTGTAAAGAATCATCACTACTGCTGATCCTGGAAATAGAGACAGGTCTTTGGCCCTGGAGAATTGTTCTCTATTTTACATTGACATCGAATGTTTACCCTTAATTTCATTGGATTCTTAGAGACTTGAATCTTTTTCTAATGGTTTGCCTCTCTAGGCTGTTTATAATTGCCTCTCTCTCCTCCTCCTCCTCCTCCCCTTCTTCTTCTTCTCTCTCTCTCTCTCTCATAAACATTCCCATGGGTATTACTATTTTCAGTTTATGTGTGGATGTCTAGGTCATGACCCTATACAGGAAACAAAGTGTTCTGGAATATGAGCCTATAGCCAAGGGTTAAAGAGGAAATAATAAATTCTATCATTAAAATAAAAGGAGAAACAGTTATTCAAACTTTCTAACAACCTGTATTTTTCAATCAGTAATCAGTAAGGAGCTGGTCCAGTCCACAGGTTGCTTTCAAGGAGAATTTAGAAGCTAAATAACCATCCTTACAGATTAAGAATTAGGTGACAAAAATGGGATTGTGGAATCAGTACACAGTTCCACTGAAGTAGGAACAACAAAGAATGTTACTAGTTATAGCCCCAGGGGATTTATTTCTCTGGTGATAACTGTGAAGATTTTTTTTCCTAGCATGTGGCTTGAGTAAAAACAGTTTTTGATCCTATTCTATGTATTACATGGGCTGCAAGATAGCAGTAACAGCAAGAAGTACAGAAATCAAATCCCAAGATTTAAGGAGCAATGGCACAACTACCCAGTCTGCTGTCTAAAGTGACCAGAACACCATAGAGATGCCATCTGTAGAATTTTGTGGCTGCAGAACTATGAGTCACTCTCTCCAAGTGAATAGTGAATATCTCCAGTAAGGCACTCTTGACATCAGACTTGGACTTCTTTTATTCCTCAGTTGGAAGATAGAGAGAAAGCCTAAGGGGAGTGAACTGGCTCATTCTGCCAGTCAAAGGCAGAGGGTTTCAAATTGTATACCAGAACCTCAGGTTGTACAGTAAGGATTCTAGGAGTTAAGGAAGCCAGTTAGAAGGGGGAAACAGCTTACAGGTCTTACTTTCCTGTAAGAACTTCTCAGTTCTTCTTTGGTCTGTTATAAAGAAGTTCCATGCCTTAAAAAAAAAAAAAAAAGGACGAGAAAACCACTTCCTTAGAGCAACTTTCAGATCTTGGAAGAGCACAGGATACAATATTTGGCATAATTGCTGGGTAGGCAGTTGACATCCCATAGATTGGACTTCACATCAAGCTGACTGGTTGTTCTTGGAATTAATTTTACTATCCTAGGTCTCTCTTATGGTCTCTGCTTTTCTGTGCCAAAAAATCCACATTTCTAAAAAGGGCAGTGCATTCTTACCAAGAGTTACAGCTGCAACTAGGAAGAGAACAGGAGCAGAAAAGAACAAATAGCTGCAAATAGGAGCAGAAGCTGGATAGAGTAGATCTGCCATGCGAATCTGCGGGCAGCACTGGAGTGAATGCCTGCTGGACTTCTCCAGCACATTGGGCATGATCTTCATACTGGGCACAAGGCCAAGGGGCTGCAGAATGGATGACAGTGGACAGAAGGTCATTGGAAAGGAAAAGATACTCATGTGTGGGACAATGCAGTACAAAGCTACATTGCTAATGCATGGTCCAAAGGAAAGCAAGGCTGTCCATCCATATGCCTCTACACTGAGTCAACTCACAGAGTGCTGGAAATAGTTGGAAAGGAAGAATCTAAGGAAGGCTAGGCACAATGCTGAATGTCAAGCTTCTCCCCAGAGAGATGACCACAGGCCTTGTATCCTCAAAACCTAGAACTGTCAACTTCTGCAAATGCTAATGGAGAAATGTGAGAAGGAAGGGCAGGTGGCAAATTCTGAATGTCATAACCCTTCCTGACATGCTAGCCACAGTGCTAATGGCCCAGTTCAGATATTAGTGGGTTGTCCTTCTGTAACTGCCCAATCCCTGTTCAGCCTTATGAGGCTTAAAAGTTTTATGCTGTACTTTAGGGAGTTATATACCTCATCAGTAGGTGAAGTTTGTTTTCCTTGTTCTAAATGGAGATAGCTGCTTTGCCACAACAACCTTGACCATTCAAGCATGAGTGTATTAGGGTACTTTGTCCTTAAACCTTTCTACCACATCACTCCTACTTTTGGTCAAACAGTACCTGTTAATATGTATTATCTAACTCCCTGCCTAGGGGCCCCAGGCCAACCAAGGGACACACCTGCATGATTTTGAGGATCCTGAGTTCCTGATCATTAAATCTATACACCTACTTTCCAGCATCAGAACTGGTCTTCTTAGTTCCAGAAACTAAGAAACAGAATTAATATAAAAGAGATCTGTGGGTATGTCTCATATATCAGTGCATCCTGAGATCCTGCACACTATACAGATGGCCACTATCTGTGGAGATGATTTTCTACAAGGAAAATGATGCTTGATTAGACTCTTCTTTGAAGAGTCTTCTTCCACTTCCTGACTTCTTCTCTAGAAATTCCCCACACCTGAGTTACTATTTCTGCTCCTTCCACTCAAGCCACTGCTTTGAGATGTATTTCAAAATCTCTTTCATTTCCTCTCCATTGGAAGCCTGAAGAGAGGCTTGCCCCTTTGTTGAGGGCCAAGAGAGCATAGTGTGGAGGGGAAGACTTGGCTAGTGTACAGATCTACACTAGTCTCCAGTGTTTACATCCTACAGAGGAAGAGCTCACCCACAGCTTTCTGGGGTGACACCTTTCTCTCTTCAGCTCTCAGCCTGGCACCATCAGTTCTTGTTGCTGACCAGTTGCTGTCTGGGTCACATTTGCATCTCTTTAACTCAGCCTGAAGAATGGGTAAGCCAGGGGCTAAAGTTGAAAGTCAAGGCTTAGTGGGAGGGTTATTACTGAGGCACAAACATCCAGCAGCTTCTCTTTCCTTTGCAGGTAGCCTGCTCTCCCCCAGGACTCTCCTGGCCTCAGGGAATAGGGTCATCAGTGCAGACCTCTGGAGAAATGAGATTCCATGTTGGGAAAAGCCGGGCTGCTATCTGTAGTGATTCTGGCAAAAACTCCTTCTGGGGGAGTCTGATGGGTAGAGGGTGGGAAGAGTGAACTACCCAGCTGTAGGAAGGGGATCCCCAGGGCCCCCATAACGTGGGGAAGCTCCTTCTCATGATGGAGACAGGGCTAGGGGAGGTCAGGGGAGGTGGAGCGCTTCTTCCTCCAGCACCCTGGCTTTTCGCCTGTTTTCCTCGGATGAAATCCTCTACATCATCCACCCCAGCTTCAACCCCTCCCCTCTCCACCCCGCCCCGCCCTGTGCCCATCCCTGCTGGCCACTGGGTCCATCGCCCAGGAGCCGCCTCCCCCTTTTCTCCTCCCCTGCGGTTCTTTCTGTTTTTCGTTGGCATCTGGCCGGGCACAGCCACCACCCTCTCTCTCTCTCTCACTCTCCCCACTTCCCTTTGCTCCGCAGAGTCCGAGCCCCTCTCCCTTCCCCCACCGCAGCCCCCCTCTGGCTGGACTGGCGGAGGGAGAATGGGAGGATGCATTCCTTCAGTGTCTTCGCAGCCTGCCCGCCTCCTCTGGCGACCCGAGGCCCCGAGCTATGCTCCCTTCCTGGTCTCCCAGCAGACTGCCCCCCACGCCACCCCATTAACCGCCAGCAGCCTTGAAGAAGGCTGAGGGGCCCCCACCGCGCTGACCTACATAGCCCGGCCCAGGGCGGGAGGGGCTCTCCCCCAAGTCCCCTCACCCCGGCCCCGCCTCCTTTCTCCCCCACTCCCTCCCTTCATCTCTCTACCATCACAGCCCAAAGAGGGTTTGAGTGCCAGACTGGGGCAAAGGGGCTAGGGATGCCACTGGACCCCCAAGTCGCGGAAAACCCGGGTTCAGGAAGGCTTTGGATTTTCCATGCATCCGTCTGCCCCAACGTCTTGAGCCTTCCTTTTGCCCAGCCTCCTCCCCCCTCCCACACAGCACCTCCTCCGCTCCTGTCTGGGTTTCTTTTCCCAGCCCCTGCCTCCGCTAGGGATACTGGCATCCTGGGGGCCCTCCGCCCGGTGTTGTTGTTTTGCTCCAAGGAGAAGCTCCCCCCTTCGCTGCCCACGCCCCCCTCCAAAGCCTCACCCAGGCCCCCTTCCCTGCCCACTCGGAGCTCCGCCGCGGGTGGGGGACGGGCGGGGAGCAGAAATGTTTGCACACAGCTGTTTGGGGAGATCGCACTGGCTCCCCAGCCCCTACAGACACACAGACACAAACACCCGGACACACGCCCTGCCTGAAACAGCGACACATCTCACTCCGCCCCCAACACACACCGACACAGACATACACACAGAGACTGACACAGAGACGCAGAGCCAGACACCAACACAGACGCGCACACCCAGACGCACACACGGACGTCCACACCGCCAGACCCCGGGCTGCTCCTCGGCGGCCTCGACCCCCGACGGCCCAACCCAGTGCACACGCAGACCCACAAGGGGTGCCCAAGCCGGCACAGCCCGCGGTCCGGCGACGCGAGGCGGCTCGCAGGCACACGCAAGGGTACTCGCCGCGGCTGGCGACTCCAACACCCTGGTGCCAAACAAAGCCAACAGGCTCCCTCCGCCCGGCTCCCGACCCGAACCCCCGCCTCGGGTCACTCCCCCCTCCCCTGGCGCCTCCCCCTCCCACACTCACCATCCTGGGAGAGGTTGGCCCCGCCGGGCGCCCAGCAGCAGGCGAAAAGCAGGAGCAGGGGCAGGGCGGAAGGGGCCCCCATCGCGCTTCCCGGCCGGCTCCCCTGGCTGGGCGCTGGAGAGCCTGGGTCCCCAGGGGCTGGGGCTGGGGAGGGGGCAGACGACGACGCTGACCAAACGGGCGCCCCCGAGCCGCTTCGGAGCCCGGGGCCGAGGCGGGGACCGGGAGGGAGCCGGCGCTGCTGCAGTCGCGGGGATTAAATAGGGCGCTCGGAGCAAACCATTCGGTTCGAGGTGGAGGGGGGGTGACGGGGGGCTGGGCTGGTCGCGGGGGGGCCAGGCTGCCGCATTCCCCACTCCCCCCGCTTCCCACACCCCCTCCTCGCCTTCGTGGTGCCTTCCACCTTCTCCCCCGGGAGCTCCGCCAGCCGGGTTCGGGTGTGGAGCAGAGGGCGGGCGCTGGCTCAGCAGTGGGACCCCGCGCGCACGCCACTTAGGCTTGGGGTGGAAGGAGGGGAGTCGGGCAGGGCCGTGGGCCAGCTGGCGAGAGCGGCCACTGCAGGCCTGGGTAAGGGCGTGCCCACTAGCCTGAGCGCCTCCAGCCCCGCCTTCCATCCTTTGGCGACTGGGGATGCCCATAAGCCCTGGGGTCCCCCGGTGAGTCGTGTGCCCAGAGACACCTCCCCAGTGGGTCACTGGTTACCCTCACTGTTTTCCTGAATGCGAACAAACCTAGCTCCGCTTACCCGAGAGCCCTTGATTTGGCTGTCCAGCAACAATTTGTGGCCCCAGGGTGCCTTCCTCCAGAGGCATCTTCCAGTAGCCCCCCTAGGCCATGGGAACCAGCAACTCCGCAATCCCTTGTCAGAGAAATTACTCACCTCCTGAAAACATGATTTCACCTCAAACTCTTGCCAACCACGTAGGCTTTCCATCCACTTCATAGTTTTCTTCCTTAACGCACATCCCGCCCTCCCCTCTCCTTCACCCAAGCTCTTCCTCCCTCTCCCACCCCAGCCCCTTATAATATTTTTCCTTTGATCTTTATCATTCAGAGGATCTTTTCCTTCCTTCTCAAGTTTTCCTTAGTAATATTCCTGGGTGATTGGCCGGGTCGCAGACCCTCCTAAAACTGATGTGTCTGTGACTAATGCAGCTCTTGTCTGATATAAGATGGATGAGAGAGACAGGGTGTTTGCACTTGCTCTTGGCCCCAGAGTCCCAGGTCCCTGGTGTTTGCTGTTCTTTGTGATTGAGTGTCTCTGGCAGTGTCTTAGTGCATCTCAGAAAGGGATGTGAGTCAGTTTTGTTGGAATTTAGCTTTTGGGAATAAATGTATGAATTTTAGAATCTTAGAATCAAAGAATTCTAGATCTGTAAGACTTCTTAGATAACATTTGATTCAACCTCCTATCTTTTAGGTACAACGGAGACCCACAAGAAATTAACTGAGCTATTTAAGGTTAGACTGGCAGTTAAAGAGTGTTAGCCAGGTTATGGAACAATACGATTTTATAGTGTCTTTCAATACCTTGAGGCTGGTCCTTTGTTCCTAGAGGGATCTAAGAGTCTGTCTTCCAACCCCTTAAACTGATGACTCTACCTTGTTGTGCTAATTTTTAAAGTTTGGGTGACCTTTGATCTTTCTCTCTTCAGGTTTGTTAGTCCTCTATGTTGTTGCTCTATGTCTCTGTTACATAGGAAGACAAGAACAAGCCTTGCAACCAATGAAGCTCTGGGCAAATGACAATAATGGGGAGGGCAGGAGATAATTTTCTCAGTGGGGGTCCTTCAGGATGGCAAGGGTGCTGCCCCATGGTTTTTTCTCTCACTGTTTGTAGAGTTTATGGTTTCTGATTGCCTCTTGAACATTTCTTTAGTGGCTGGGTAGTCTTTAAGAATTTCTTTCAGAGCACTTTTAGTCATCTTTGGCTGTATGATTTGTCTGCCATTACATATCCCAGTTTCTCCAATCCCACTGCCTGCCTGCCTGAGGTCCTCTGAAGTCTTGGAATTGCTAAGAGATGAACATAGAGGGGACAGTGTGGTTGAGGGATGTGGAGACCTGAGAGAGAGAGAGAGAGAGAGAGACAGAGAGAAAGAGAGAGAGAGTGCTGCGCTAGGGAGTAGGAAGGGAGAGAGATAAGGGGAAGATTGTATTTTCTGAAAGAAGTGGGACTAGGTTGGCATGAGGTTAGTTATGCAGACAGAAGTCATGGGGGTGTTTTCAAAAGCAATCAGCTTCAAAGGGAGAAAGATTAGGCTATCCTAGCTAAAGAGTCTTGACGGATAGAGAGTATTATCTTTGGAGCTAGAAGAAATCTTACAGATCATCTAAGTAGGCTTAGCAGAAGACAGGTTGATGATGGGGAGGGGCAGGGAGTGAGAGTGGGGATGGATGATGCAGGGAGGCCTGGGTGTGAGATTAGGTCCCAAAGTCCTCTAATTAATCATCTTTTCCATCTGCTGTTCTGCAGTGATCCCCTTCTGCCTGTCCCTGCTTAATTCTCAAATGACGGCTGGTGTGGCCCCACCCTCTACTGAAGCTGCATGGGATGAGAACCAAGGGTGGGAAGAAAGGAGGATAGCTGTTGTTGTACAGAGAGAAACAAGACTCTGGAATGCTCATTTCCTACTGGCTCATCTTCTCTTTTCTGCATCATCAGCATCAGTTTGGCAGCAGTTTAGGTCCTGAGAATAGGAAGCCGTCATCGGCTTTTAGAATTACAGAATCAAAGAGTATAAGAGTGGTAAAGATTACCTAATGAACACCCTTTGTTGAATAGATGAGGAAAATGACTCTGAGAAGCTAAGTGACTTTCTGTGTTCATACAGCTTGTTAGTAAAGGAGTTACTGGTAGTAGATAGATGGACAGAGAGTACTCCTGGGGACCGGAGAGATAAGGAGAATCATTCCCAATATTTTACAGCAGTGTACAATGTGAGGAATTCCTCACTCCTGTCTATCTCAGAGAGAAAGGGTAGGTTCTTTGACGCTGATGTGGACATCCCCATCTGGAATAACTCCTTGCTTATAATCAGTCATGTGCAGCCAATATCCTACAGGCATCTTATTCACTGGGAAAGAGAGTTTTACAAGGAAATACAGACCTATAAGGATTATCTCCAGCATAAAAATAGTCAAAATGAAAGCACCCTTGCTGTACTGTGCTGTCCAGGGTTGCTCTCTCCTCTAAGATGCACTAACAAACAGTATGAGTTTCCCAGAGATTTGTAGAAAGTCTAGAGTAGGCTGTCTGTGGGATTACAGAACTGGCAGCAGCAGTGAAAGCTGAGGGAGTGGAGAGAAGGCAGATTTTGCCTCCTGGGTGCCCCTGTCCACTCAGCAACAGCCTGGGTAGCTGGGGGTGTGGAATGTGGTGCTGGCATTGGTGCTGGGCCAGCCACAGCTGTGTGGGCCGTGGGCATTCCTTTCTCCAAGCTCCTGCCCTGAGGGGAGAGGCAAGGAACTCAGACTTAGGGACATGAATTTTGCATATTTGTCTGGAAGGGTCTGACAGTATCTGTAGGGAGAAAACTTAGAAGATTTGGCTCAATATCCATTCAGATTCTGCTTAGCACTCTAACCCTTCTCCTCTATATGAATTTTCTCTATTAGTATATTCTACATCAGCTTGTTTCTAATATTGCTTTCCTCTTCAATTTTCCACCCAACTCAACCGGTACTCCTCATACTGCTTCTTACTTCTATTATCCAGTTTTAATTAACCTCATCCTTAAAAATAACCTCTGTATGCATTTTAATTCTAACCTTAATTGAATTCTAATTTCAATCCTAACCCTAATCTATTATAGAGTCTAACTACTAATCCTAATACCAACCCCAGTTTAATTGCCAGTTTCAACCACATCTCAATTCTAACTAGTTTTAAGCCTGCAACTAGAATAGGAAGTTTCACATGGTAAAAATTATCACATGTACTATTTATTGAGAATCCATCAAATGCCCGACATTTGCTGGGCATTTTACATGCATAGTATCTCATTTAAGTACTAGAAAATTTCTTTATGTAGCTAGGATTATTAGCTTCCTCACCAATATGAAGAAATAATATTTAACAACATTATATGATTTTCAAATAGTGGAGCCGTATCCAGATCTGCTTGGCTTAAAGCCTGTGCTCATTCCTTTATTTGCCAACAAATGATTTTTTTAGATTTATTTATTTATCTGAAAGACATAGTTACAGAGAGAAGTAGAACCAGAGAGAGAGAAAGGTCTTCAATCGCTGGTTCACTCCCCAGATGGTTGCAAGGGTTGGAGCTGTGCTGATCTGAAGCCAGGATCCAGCAGCTTCTTCCTGGTATCCCACGTGGGTGCAGGGACCCCAGGACTTGGGCCATCTTCCACTGCTTTCCCAGGCAGAGAGCTGGATGGGGAGTAGAGCAGCCAGAACTCGAACCAGTGCCCATATGGGATGCCGGTACTGCAGGCTGCAGCTTTAACCGCTACACCACAGCGCCAGTCCCAACAAGTGATTTTTGATTGATTGTCTCCTAAAATGTTGAACAATACTGACTGGAATGATCTCCAAAATACTGAATTTCTTGAAAGCATATCATTATTGGTTTAGTTTTTTAAGTTTTTTTTTTTTAATAAATAATGATACAGAATGGAAATCAACTAAACAAAAAAGTCCCAAATCTCCCTCTCAGTCTCCACTGACACTTTAGACCATTAAAGTTATTTATTTTTGAGGATGAACGAGTTAAACTATAGAAAGAAACAATCTGAAAAGCCTCCTCCTTCTTCCCAGAGTTGCCATATTGCACAACCCCAGGGGGCACCCTTCTAATTGGAGTTGTGTAACATAGCAGCACTGCCTCCCACGACTTTTCAGAAAAGCAGATAAAGTCAAGGAAAATAGCTACCAAATCCAATCACCCTATGCTTGTGTATGACTTAGGTATGAGAATCACCAGACAGCTTGGATGTATGATTAGCAATGACCGTGAATGGCCAGATTTGTTAGTGTCAAAACTAGATTAACTTCTTTACATTTACTATATGATTTAATGTTCATGGGCCCTCTGTGCAGAGTTCATTATCCCATTTCACAGATGAGGACAACAAGGTTTGAAGAAGTAAAATGACAGACACAAGAGGACAAAGATGACTGATAGACTCAGATTTCTTTGTATTTTTAAATTAAAAAAATATTATTTGAGAAGTGAGGAGAGAGGCTAGGGCAGGGGGTTTGGTTC